GAACAACCGACGCCCTGGCTGTTGTACCCAGGGAACAAATCGGAACAGATGTCATGCTCACGTCCTCTGAGACATCGCTGAAATTCAGCCTCAGCCGGTCAGTATACAAAGGTACGTTGATGACCTGACTCAGCCCCAGCAAGGCGTTCGTGAGGGTATTATTGGAAACTTGGCTTTAACTGTCATTTGCGCCATCAGCTGGAACAGTTGGGCTGCACAATCTCGGACAAGTCAGCCCTTGTCTGCGCACGTGCTGAGCTCAGACGTGAGCTGAATGGTGTTCGGAGCGCCCCGCTTCCTACCTTCGAATATGTTCAGATTGTCACGGCTATCATTTTTGAAACCAAGCAGGTGGTTATTGGCCAGTGTGTTGCAGAGGCGTCGCCAGGCCCCCAAGATGACCAAGAATGCTGTTTACCTGAGTAAGCTTCAGTCGGGCCTGTCCCTCTACAGGAGGAATATCCCAAAACACTCAAAACATACTCTGGGGACGGCTTTTTGGGTATTGCTGGCAGCGTTTGAATATTTATTGGGGTATCTTTCGCCAAAAATTCCGCCTGTAGGGGGAGAGGCCCGACCTGAGAGCAGGCTGGTGGGTAGGGGCTGCAAGCTCCCTCTGCCTGCCGTGTTGGCCGCGGGGTCCTGGGCCCACCGGGTGCTATAGGCTTACGTCGGGCCTGCCCCTCTACAGGAGGAATATTCAAAAATAGTCAAAACATAGTCCAGGGACGATGTTGGCATGTTTCGACTATTTCTGCATATTGTTGAACTGTTTTTGGTAATCTTTCGCCCGAAATCCGCCTGTGGGGGGACAGGCCCGACCTAGTGCTAGGCTGACCCTTGGTCGGAGAAGTTCTGTCACCCTGAGCAGGTTGCGCTCGCGCCCGCGGCGATAGGGACCCTTTGACTGCCCCATGCGGGCGCACCGCCGGCCAGTGAGACTTTGCGCTGGGAAGGCGCGCGGCAGCTGTGACCATTCGGATCGCAGGCGCCTGCTGCGAGTCATTGCCGCACACTGCCTCTTGGAAGCGCCGATGTGACCCAAAGTTGTGGCCAGAGCTCGGCCAAGCTATCGGATCACGTGCTCCTCTAGCTGTTGTGGAAACGCTTCTGGGAAAACGGGGAGAAGGAAGAAGAAGGAGAAGAAAGAGGAGAAGAAGAAGAAGAAGACGAGCAGGAGAGATCTCTTCAAGCTTTCTGGGAGGTTCTCTCGGAGGCCTCTTCGGGGCCTCTCTGGCCGTCTTGGGTTATCTTCATCCATATTGGGCTATCTTGGGTGCATCTTGGGCCGTCTTGGAGACATATTGCGGCCATCTTGGGCCCTCCTGGGGTCATCTTACACGTCCTGGGGACATCTGTGAGGCCATCTTCAGCCATCTTGGCCGTGTGCCCTGGGAAGCCTACGGGTCATTCTTGGCCTTGGAGCCCATCTTCGGGCCCACTGGAGCGGGAAGACAGATAAATTGGGCAGTCCACGGGTCCTGCGGGTGGTCGGCGGGATCGGCAGAAGGCCCATCGAGTATGTTGTAAAGAAGGGCCAGCAACAATGGAAAAGGCAAAAGGGAAGCCATGAGTTTGGCCTCCCAGAGGCCCTCTTGGAACCCAATTAGGGCGTCTTAGGGGGCCGTCTTGGGCATATGTGGCCCATCTTGGGTGCATATCGGCCGCCTTGAAGACACCTTGGTGCCATCTGGAGCTCTCTTGAGGATCGTGGAGACGATTCTTACATGTCGTTTCCCCTCCTTGCGCGTCCTTCTGAGTGGCCAGTGGGTTGGGCCGGAGGCCCCTGGGATTCTCAAAAGAAGCAAGAACTGCCTAAGGTCTGGCACTCCGTGCACACCTGTGGCAGGCTAGCAGGGGGCGGCGGATCAAGTGGCCTTCGGCTTATCCCGTTACCGGGCCTGGTTCGGGGAGACGGTGCTTCTCGGCTGCTCTTTGGGGACTTCTTCGGGGGCCTGGTCGGTGGCAACTCGGGGGCCTCTCGGGGGTCTCTTCGGGCGTTTTGGGGGCTCGCTGGCGATCCTGGTCGGGGTAGAGCTCGACGAATCAGTTCGGGTACACCCTTTGGGGCCCCTTCTTCCCAACAAACATGTTGTTAGGTCCTCGTTTTGCAGAGAGAGCGCCCCGCGTTCCTCCTCTCCTCCTCTCCTCTCCTCTCCTCTCCTCTCCTCTCCTCTCCTCTCCTCTCCTCTCCTCTCCTCTCCTCTCCTCTCCTCTCCTCTCCTCCTCCCCCTCCTCCTCCCGCCACCCCCCTCACTTTGGCGCACCCCTCACACGCTTCGTGGTCCAACAGGGAGATCCACCGAAGGCCCCAGCGGCGCAGCCCGCATGCGTCTCCCCCACCCAGTACAGCGGTTCGTGGCCCAATAGGGAGCCCCACCGAGGGTCCCAGTGGCGCAGCCCGCATGCGTCTCCCCCACCCAGTACAGCGGTTCGTGGCCCGACAGGGAGCTCCACCGAAGGTTCCAGTGGCGCAGCCAGCATGCGTTTTCCCTACCCAGCACAGCGTTTCGTGGCCCAATAGGAAGTTCCACCGAAGGTCCCACTGGCGCAGACCGCGTGCGTCTCCCACACCCAGCACAGCGCTTCGTGGCCCCATAGGGAGCTCCACCGAAGGGTCCAGTGGCGCAGCCCGCATGCGTCTCCCCAACGCCGTACAGCGTATCGTGGCCCCACAGGGAGCTCCACCGAAGGTCCCCGGGGCGCAGCCCGCATGCGTCTCCCCCACCCAGTACAGCGCTTCGTGGCTCCATAGGGAGCTCCACCGAAGGTTCTAGTGGCGCAGCCCGCATGCGCCCCCTAGTAAAGCGTATCGTGGCCCCACAGGGAGCCCCTCCTAAGGTTCCAGTGGCGCAGCCCTTATGCGTCTCCCCCGCCCAGTACAGCGCTTCGTGGCCCAATAGGGAGCCCCACCGAGGGTCCCAGTGGCGCAGCCCGCATGCGTCACCCCCACCCAGAGCAGCATTTTGTGGCCCCACAGGGAGCTCCACCTAAGGTCCCAGTCGCGCAGCCCGCCTGCGTCTCCCCCACCCAGTACAACATGCTGTGGCCCCCCTGGGGGCTCCACCGAAGGTCCCAGTGGCGCAGCCCGCATGCGCCTCCCCCACCCAGTACAGCGGTTCGTGGCCCCGTAGGGAGCTCCACCGAAGGTCCCAGTGGCGCAGCCCGCATGCGCATACCCCCCCCCCCCCCTGTACAGCGATTCGTGGCCCCAGAAGGAGCTCCACCAAAGGTCCCAGTGTCGCAGCCCGCATGCGTCACCCCCACCCAGAGCAGCATTCTGTGGCCCCACAGGGAGCTCCACCTAAGGTCCCAGTCGCGCAGCCCGCCTGCGTCTCCCCCACCCAGTACAACATGCTGTGGCCCCCCTGGGGGCTCCACCGAAGGTCCCAGTGGCGCAGCCCGCATGCGCCTCCCCCACCCAGTACAGCGGTTCGTGGCCCCGTAGGGAGCTCCACCGAAGGTCCCAGGGCGCAGCCCGCATGCGCATCACCCCCCCCCCCCAGCGATCGTGCCCAAAGGAGCTCACCGAAAGGTCCCAGTGTCGCAGCCCGCATGGCGAGCAGCATTTTGTGGCCCCAGGGAGCTCCACCTAAGGTCCAGTCGCGCATGGTCTACAGTACAACATGCTGTGGCCCCCCTTTCCCAGGGCGCAGCCCGCATGCGCCTCCCCCACCCAGTACAGCGGTTCGTGGCCCCGTAGGGAGCTCCCGACCAGTGGCGTCGCATCCCCCACAGCGATTCGTGGCCCCAGAAGGAGCTCCACCAAAGGTCCCAGTGTCGCAGCCCGCATGCGTCACCCCCACCCAGAGCAGCATTTTGTGGCCCCACAGGGAGCTCCACCTAAGGTCCCAGTCGCGCAGCCCGCCTGCGTCTCCCCCACCCAGTACAACATGCTGTGGCCCCCCTGGGGGCTCCACCGAAGGTCCCAGTGGCGCAGCCCGCATGCGCCTCCCCCACCCAGTACAGCGGTTCGTGGCCCCGTAGGGAGCTCCACCGAAGGTCCCAGTGGCGCAGCCCGCATGCGCATCACCCCCCCCCCCCCCTGTACAGCGATTCGTGGCCCCAGAAGGAGCTCCACCAAAGGTCCCAGTGTCGCAGCCCGCATGCGTCTCCCCCACCCAGTACAGCTATTCGTGGCCCCACAGGGAGCTCCACCGACGGCCCCGGGGGCGCAGCCCTTATGCGTCTCCACCACCCAGTATACCGGTTCGTGGCCCAATCGGGTGCTCCACCGAAGGTCCCAGTGTCGCAGCCCGCACGCGTCTCCCCCGCCCAGCACAGAGTTTCGTGGCCCTCTGAGGGGGCACCGCCGAAGACGATATCTACAATTGCGGCATTCACAACTGCATCTGGTTGGGTCCTTTGCCAGGCTACTGGGGACCGCCTGGGGGGCCTCCTGCGCCCTCTTGACAGCCTGGGGGGGGGCCATCTTGGTGCGAGCTTGGCTTCCTGGGCCGTCTAGAGCGCCGTTCCGACCAAAGCGGCGAGCATGCGAAAGTCATACAACAAAAATTGTCATTGACAACGGCCTCCAGGGCTGGCCCCAGGACCTGAATGCCGAGGCCTCTGGACAAGTCATTCGGGGAGTCCTGGTAGCGCCTGGGGGGACCGGGGGATCCAGGGTTTGGCCCCTCCAAGAGAAAATGCACAATTTCGAACACAGAAATCGAAGGGAGCCCAGGACATAACAGTCAGTGTCTCGCAGCACGGTGGCGAATTTGCGCGGTGGAACAGCTGATTATTTTTATGAAACAAAGTAGCCACGAACCTTGTTTTGATTCCAGCGTGTGCAGCTTGGGTGTGCACGTGTTTGTGTGTGCATGTGTGCATGTGTGCACTCGGATATGTGTGTAATTACGTGTGAGTGTGCGCGTCTGGGGTGCCGCTCGATCCGAAAAGAAGTGGTAGACAGTAGCAAGGAGGTCCCTCAATTACTTGTTTCATCTTGGTGCTAGTGATATCGATGTCGGGGGCCGTACTCTGGTGGTCCCTTCGAGGTGGGACGACATGGAGAAGCTCGGCAAGCGCGTGCGAAGGGGAGAGCACCCTTAGCCAGGAAGCTTGCGCATACCCGCACATTGAGCCGACGACGTGATGTCGTCTAATGAAGAGCCAGGTGGAAATTCTGAATTCGAACGTAAAGGCAAGTAGTGGCTGCGGCAGGGGAATTGTCAGCCATGCTAATTGATGCTGGCTCAAGTGGGTCGCAAAGATGCGAAGTAATGTCGGGCTCTAGAGCTGATAATCTTCTTGGAGCAGCACGTTGGCCTAACTATCGAATCGGAGTGGTTTGACAATGGGAGGATTGAAGCCATATGCGGAAGGAGGGTCGGAGTGGTAGCTTCCGCGCATTGCGAGGAGGTTGCATCGCAGCCAACGCCTTGGGATGCGAGATTGCAGGCACTTCACAGCAGTCTGACCCCAGAGAGGAGGAAATGCCAAGGGATGAGGAGAATGAGGAGGAGAGTGAGGAGGAGGACGAGAAGGGGGAGTGGCAGGAGAGAAAGATGAGGAGGGGAAGCAGGCGGAGGACGAGGAGGCGGAGGGCGGACGAGGAGGAGAAGGAGTACCCTACATAAAACGCAAGTTTTCTTGCTCAGGTTGATCTAACGTCAGTAAGATATTGACCCCCTACAACGTTGGCAGCTCGCCCGTTTGGTTGTAGGTCGGCCCGCTAGCTTGCTCGGCTGCTTGTTCGGCCTCTTGCCTGGCCACGTCGCATCTGAACACCACGTACCATTGCAGCACCAATGCAGGCTCTTACCCCTGCGTTACGCGCACTCATGTTCGAGAATATACATCTGGATCGACGCGCACACTGGAGGAAGCCAGGCGTACTGTCAGAGCTGCAGCAGATCAGGCTCCCTGCCAAAGGGATCGAGTCAAAGTCAGAAGGAGAGAGAGAGAGAGAGAGAGAAACAAAAGAGAGAGAAAGAGAGAGAACAGAAAAACGAGACGCGACAAGGAAGCAAAGTCAGAAGGCAAGCAGGCTGACTGACGTGGAATGCGAGCAGGTGAAGTACATCGCTAATGAGTGCCAAAAAGCCTGATCTGACCACTATGTGGCCCCAGCGGACTATGACGGCATATACGACCTGCGCAGCTGCAAGACTGCAGAGGTCCAGCGAGGGTTGTGATGCACAGTTTTGGTTTGCTCTCTCTTCTCTCTCTCTCTCTCGTTCTCTCTCTCTCTCTCTCTCTCTCGTCTCTCTCTCTCTCTCTCTCTCTCTAGTTCTGTGTATATGTGTATATATACATACATATACACGTGTGGTCGTATAGATATGTGAAACTGTATACATACATGTTTATGTGAAGTGTTTAACTCGAGTTACATGGACCCCAAACACTGTGTCTAGCATTATACGCTGTGCAACCTTTGTGGTGCAATATGTGGTGCGGGGTATATGTGGTGCAGTCTCTTGTGTGCAACCTATTGTGTGCAATTAATCTTGTGCAATCTATGTTGTGCCATTGATGTTGTGTACTGTACGTGGGTAGTCTCATATATGAGGAGCAATATATGTTGCGCAGGCTACTGGTGCACTCCAAGCAGTGTAATATACATTGCGCACTCCTGTGTGGTGCACCCTATGTGGAGCTGCCGATGTGGTGTAGCCTGTCTCTGTGTATGTATAATACAAATGTATAAAGACAGATCGTGCAACCCATGCGGTGCAATCTATGTGGCGGGGCAACCTGTGTTGCGTAACCCATGTTATGCAATCTGTGTTGTGATATTATACATCTATATATATGTATATATATACATATACATAAATATTTGGAGCAGTGTATGTGGTGCAACCTACGTGTTGCAATTTATGTTGTGCAACATGTATGGTGCAGTCTATGTGGCGCAATAAATATTGTGCAATTTACGTAGTGCAATATGTTTTTGGTGCAGTCTATATTTTGTTATGTGTATATATAGGTGCCGCGTGGACGGTTTTCGAAAATTAAACGCCTAAGGGCGCGCGGCAAAACTTGAAGATGTAAGGGTGCCCTTGGAACCTTGCCCATCATTCCTATGCGCATTGCCTGCAAGCTCCATGTGGAATCTTCTGCGCCGAATGAGGCCGCGAAATATGTATGATGACGGAGTAAGCCGCATTAGGCGGGAACACAAAAAAAACGCGATTGAACCGAATTTGGAGCCAATGCGACATCAAAAAAACATCTCTCAGGAGTTGCACCCGAACGTTCCCGTCGTCAACCACGAAGCGCCCACCGCCGCGCACACGCGACGGCAGGGCGCGGTCTACAGAGAAGCCGAGCGGGCGGAGCATGTTCTTACCATCCTGGAGATCTCACGCAGCGCCCTGGACGCCGCAAGCGTTCCCGAAAAAATCAACGGACGCCCGCGGCGAGCCATGGCGCCGCTGCGAGCCCGACGAGGCGTGTGCGTTAGAGCTCTGTCCTGGATCACCCACAGCGGGCCGCTCCGCGCACAGGATGCCGCAAACCCAATGTCACGGAGTGCTTCGGCGACGCAGATATTTCTGAGCTCAACGTTGCGGCCGCGGGAACAGCGGGCCGACTCCTCTGACACCAACGAGAGCTCTTGGTCTACGTGGATGCCGAGCATCTCGCGGTCGTTGCTGCAACGCGCCCTCTTCGACTGCTGGCTGCCCATAGCAAGGCTGTCCAGGGGCGGACAGGCAAGTGTGGTTTGCTGGGCACGCACAATAAAATCGTACACCTCTGCTTTTGCGTCGAACGGACCGCAGCCTTCCATATCATATGCTGGGCTCTCCACTTCAGGAAGGGACCACGCGTCGGCCTCGATGACAGCGAAGAACGTGACGCGCATCCGCGAAGCAGCCGATTGGAAATTTTTGGTGGACGCGCGGATGTCATTGCCGAGCGCCGGATCCAAAATGCAGAGCTGCCCCTCGCGCACCTCGACGGCCATGAAGTGTCCGCAGGTATCCCCGTATGGTTGCCACCACACCAGCTGCGAGTTTGCCTGGATGATGTCGCGAATCGCACCACGACACTCATGAAGCCACAGCATCTGATCTTCACGTTGCGACACGCGGCCCCCATGCTCGTCGAACTGACGAACGGCGCGAGGCCCATCGCACAGCGGCCACGCCTGCGGAGAGTGATGCTTCAAGTGTTGCACAGAATTGTATAGACATGCACCAAACATGTCAGGTGCGACGCGAGGCGGTAGCTCCGCGCCGCGCGCTGCGTCACCTGAGGCCAGAAGCAAGTCTCAGAGCAGGGGGTGCACTGGCGATGCCTTGGCCACCGTGAGCTTCATCCCGCAGGTCTCCTGGAGGTCGCCGAAGACTTCATCTATGCGGAATCCAGGTGCACCGGTTGATATAATGAGTTCATCGAAGATGCAGCACGCGACGTTCCAATTCTGCTGGCCATTGCACTGGCGCATGACCTCCGCCACTTCGTCCTCGCGCGCGGACAGGGCGTAGAACGACCTTGTTGCGGCTGGCCTTCGCCGCATGCCAAACTTGCGACGAAGACGCTGAAAGTCACCAAACCAAGACCCTAGGACGATGTCATCGGCATGCGCCACGTCGACGGCGAGCGACCACAAAAACGGAATGTTGTTCACGGGCTTACCCAAGCCGAAGACCCTTGAAATCATCTTCTTAGCTTCTGAGAGGTCAACCTGGAGATTGTCGCTGACGAATGCGCTCCGGACGTCGCAATATTGACCGAACCTTTCCAATGAACGCAATGGCTCTGCATCTCTTGCATGTAATTTCCTCACCTCTCTCAGAAGGAGCGCGGGGAATCAGTTTTTGACGTCGATGCGGTAGCTCAAGCCAGTCAACGCAACAGACCGCGACTCTTTTGCGTGACATTGCAGCACAGGGCCGCGTGCGCACATTCTGCCAGGGAGCCTATGCTTCCGATAGTACACCTCTTGTAGACCGACGTAGTCCCCAGCGACAACGCCTTCCTGAGGAGACGAAAAGATACCAATACCGCTACTCCCTGGACCCACCCTTGGGCGTGTTCTGATTAGAACTTCGAGGCGAATCCAGCCGCGGCGTCGATGGGTGTCCAGACCGAGCAACGGCATCGGTATATTTTCCCTTGCTGGCTTCCCTCATGCACCGCTCGATGTACTTGCTCAGCATGTCTGGCTTGCGGCCGTGGCCAGCCAATGCGTGAGCTTGCAGCGCAGCAATGTTCACCCGCTCCGTCAGCGCGCATGCGCCCGCGTCGCCCTCGTGATACTCGAAAGCAGAAGTGTTACTGCCATTGCCGCAGAAATCGGCGAACGCGTCGTCGATGGTCTCGGCGTTGGCGAAGGTGTCTTGGATGGTCTCGGCGTAGGCCCAAAGAGAACCCCACTCGTCCCAAGTGCCGAAATGCTTAGGCCCATGAGTCTGCAAGAGCTGCTCGAAGCGTTCGATGTCGAGATTGAGTCTAGTATAACTACCACCTCCGCTCGGCTTCAAAAAGCGAGGCCAAACACCCAGCGCGTCTGTTAATGTTGAACGTTTGGACTTCTTCCCTTTCGTGCTCGTCTTCGTGCCCACGCCAGGTATTGTCGCCATCCGACTGATGTAGGGCAGACCCGATTCGCGCTGCCCCAGCCGTCACCACGTGCACTGTGCGGACCAAGTGCTCTCCATCAGGGGGGCCAGCGGGCGGTCCGCTGCCATTCGGCTGGTTGCCCGGCACGTAATCCCATTGCACGGTGTCGGAGAAAGGATATTGTAAACCACCGTTTGCCATTCGCTTGACGAACGGCGTTGTCCTTGACGCGGTCGTTGACGTTGATCCGGGTTGTCAACATGGCCCCCCCGGAATACTTCATCCGCCGCGGCAGCGTGAAGTAGTGCACGTAGGCGCATCGAGCCTCCTGGCCTTCGAGGAAAGGTTCAAGCGATGGGCCCACCAGAAAGCATATGCACGTCACTGGGGTCGCCCAAATGGACTGCAACGCAGGGCTGAGATCCCAGCACTTGGCGCAACACCCCCATGACAAAATACAACGCACCCGCCCAAAAAATGGGCCTGCAGGGCACCCTAGCACCGCTGACGAAGTTCTTCACCACGCTATCCTGCAACGGCTTGCCAGCTGTGCAGTCAGACATGATTAGACATCGCGCTTGGGCGAAGTGGCAACCCTGCTTTCGAAACTCCCCCCCCACCTGGAAGTTGTTTGACCCCATGCATGAGCAACTCGCGCCGAAGACGCCGGCAAGTAATTTGGATTTCTCCGACGCCCCACTCCCCCCATCGGATAACAAGGCTATCATCTTGTGTGGAAGAGCACAGCCGTCCAACGCCAGGACCTCCATGTTCTCGTCTATCTGCGCACAGAACTCTCCGCAAACGCTCCAACGCATCGTCGGAGGGCCCCCAATCCAGATGGACAGCGAGATGCGTGCAGCACTTGTTGGCGATGCCCTTCTGGATGCCCTGCATTGGGCCGCCCTGCCACCGAATCGCAGCGTCTTCGAGGTCGACGATGGCGCGCGCATCTGGGAAGTCTCGGACGAACCACTTCCCGAACAACTCCCGAACACTCTCCAACAAGCTGGCAGACGTAGATGGATTCCCATGACAGCTAAAAGCTTCCAGCGCTTTCAAACTTAGATGTCAGCGCCCAGAATGGCAGACGCCACCCGCCCAAATTCAACGAAACACGTTCATGAGCCCTTCCTTTCGGTAGTATCCACGAACAAAACTGCAATAGAGTGCGTCCGCCGTGGCTGGAGTTCCTCGGAACATTATATAAAAAAATGTGTTTTGCACCCCTTACGTTTCTAATGGAAGCGCCCCCGCGCCCAAAACCAACGAATAATACACATAGTGCTATTGTTTTGACGAAGGTAATAATATATATATATATATATAATATATATATATTAATATATATATATATTATTTTATCTTATGTTATTTATTTTTTTAAGAAAAAATGGGGGGGGGCGTCCGCCGCTGCTTATTTAAGTTCCTTAAGAGACAATGAACGAAATGGAGATGCGTTTCACCCAATGCGTTCCTAACCACAGTAACCCCGCATCACAATCAACGAAAAGTACGCAACATGCACCCCGTTTGACGACCAGAATAAGAGAAAAAAACACAACTGGTGCGTCCGCCGTGGCTTCAGTCCTTTAAGATACAATGAAATCGAGTGCGATGT